CCCTTGCCTCTGCCTCCCCACCTCCCTGAAAGGTGGACAGGAGAGCTCGGGCCTGAACCTGGGCAAGAAGATCAGCGTCCCAAGGGATGTGATGTTGGAGGAGCTGTCGCTGCTCACTAACCGGGGCTCCAAGATGTTCAAACTGCGGCAGATGCGGGTGGAGAAATTTATCTATGAAAACCACCCTGATGTCTTCTCTGACAGCTCAATGGTGAGTTCAGAACTTTACTACTCTCAAAGCCTTGTGCCTCTTTTGACAGCTTCTTGGTAGGCCCCGCCGGAGTCTCTAAAATATGACCAACCTCCCCTCCCAGCTAATTTATAAGCTCATTAACCCCCCAGATACAGCGAGCCCCCAATAGCTCCAGGGTGAATTACAGCCCACCTCTGAAACTAAATCTGTATCTTAGAGCTGGTGAGGCAGGGTGGGGAGTCCACACCTTCAAGGAGAAAACTCCTTCCCAGTATGGTTAAGTATTAAAGATAGGATTACCAGATAAAACACAGGATGCCCAGTCCTATATTTTAAAGTTGAGATACACACTAAATAAGCCACTGAGGATATATTGTAGGCACAGTAAATAAAGCCCATATTTCATAATACCTTTAAATGGAGTATGGTCTATAAGAATATTGCATCACTATGTTGTATACCTGAAACTAATATAATATTGTAAATCAATGCTACTTCAATTAAAAAAATAAAGTTGAGATATACACAGATAATTTTTTAGTAAAGTATGTCCCATGCAATATTTGGGACATAAGTTTGTTTTTTTTTTAATTGAAGACACTTAGGGAATTCCCTGGTGGTCCAGTGGTCCGGTGCTCTCACTGCCAGGGGCCTGGGTTCGATCCCTGGTTGGGGAACTAAGATCCTGCAAGCCACGCAGCATGGCAAAAAAAAAAAAAAAATTGAAGACACTTAGTTAAATTTGAATTTCAGATACACAATAATTTTTTAATATAAGTGTGTCCCATGAAATATTTGGGACATGAAAATTAAATTAAAAAATACAGGACACTGAGTTAAATTTGAATTTCAGGTACATGACGAATACTCTCATATCTAAATATGTCCCATGCAATACTTAGGCATATATATACTAAAAAAGTATTATTGTGTATCTGAAATTCAAATTTAACTGGTGTCCTGTGATTTTTTTTCTTTTTGCAAAATCTGGCAACCCTAGAAAGAGGTAAGTGAATTTTTATAACCATCTCTTCTTGAGCCATTCTTTTATCTAAAGGGTCAGTATAAGGACCACAGATGTGGGGACCGAAACCATGTTTTAAGGTCCTACGTCTCCTAGTCAGGATCATTCTCCGAAGAGAAGTAGAGATTGGAGAGGGACCAGGCACAAGATATTTCAGCTGAGAAGGAGGGAATCATTTCCATTTCCTTTCTTCCCCCTCCACCTTTCCTGGGCAGCCAGGGGAGAGTGAAAATAGTTGCCTACATGGGGCCAGGGGCAAGAGTGTCTGCCATTTGCCCGTATGTAGGAGCAGAATAAAAATGCTGAGCCGGTCATATCTAACTTTAGGAGGCCAAAAGCCCTCCCCCCTGCCTGTGTCTGGTTACACTGGGTGGAGCATGGGGGTGTGTTCGGTGGGTGGCCAGGAGAGCCTCCTGAAGGAGTTGGCAGGGTTATTTTTAGTCTTTGGGGATGGATCCAGTGTTGCCCTTTGGGCTTCCCTTCCCCCTACCCACTACAGTTTCACTGTCAGGAAGTCCTGGTCCAACAGGCACCAAGAGGAGAAAGGGAGAGGAAGAGGAAGAGAGAGAAGAAACTTTTATCTGTTAGACAAGATGCAGGGGAGGAGCAGAGATCTCTCTAGTTCTTTAACTTAAGGCTGGGTTCTCCATGCCAGCCCCAATCTCTCAAATCTAAGTTGAGCAGAACTCTTGGTCCTCTTTGCCTTGGTAAGGAGGGAAAGGGGATTTCGGAGAATGAGTTGCCCCCATCCTAGATGTAATTCGAACTGAGCCATAGGGGTTGTATCCCTTAAGGAGAGTTTAATTTCTCTCAGTCAGGCTATCTGCTAACCATCTATTGGAGGGGAGAGTCTCAGAAGATTCAGTGTCTTCTGGTTGTCCATTGTCTCTGATCACCTCCTACTTGCTATGGTATTCCCCGTACCCATTGCTAACCTTCCCCTTACTTTGTCCTTTCTTTTCAGGATCACTTCCAGAAGTTCCTTCCCACAGTTGGGGGACAGCTGGGGACAGCTGGCCAGGGATTCTCCTACAGCAAGGGCAGCGGTGGAGGCCAGGCAGGGGGAAGTGGCTCTGCCGGACAATATGGCTCTGACGAGCATCACCATCATCAGGGCCCTGGGTCTGGATATCGGGATACAGGTGGTCCTGGGAGCCAGACTGGCCGAGGAGGAGCTGCTGGCACTGCAGGGGTTGGCGAGACAGGACTAGGCAAGTATCCTCACCCAAGAATAATGTGTCTGGTCTCTAAAGCAGAGAAATACCCAGGAATGAGGCCTAGACTGGGTGTAGGAAGCAGGAGAGGCCTGTTGAGATAGCCTGATGGACTTTCTGGGTCCATAAGGATACAGAGACGTGTCTATTCCACCCAGAAACCTTGTCTCTCAGTCACCTTTCTAGCCTTTCAGTTTGTATCACAAATCCGACTCCAGGCTGTCATTATTTCACAAACCTTATACAATTACCAAGATGTTTTACCTTTGGTCCCTGGCCCCAGCAACTTCTCTAGTGCAGGGCTCTGAGACTAACTTCCATTGGCTACTAACTGCTATTATTTGACTTATTATTATTTCTCTCCCATGGCTGCCAGACGACCAGGCAGGTGGAGAAGGAAAACATATCACTGTGTTCAAGACCTATATTTCCCCATGGGAGAGAGCCATGGGGGTTGACTCCCAGCAAAAAGTGGAACTTGGCATCAACCTGCTGGCCCATGGGGCCAAAGCTGATCTCCCTCAGTATAAGTCCTTCAACAGGTAAGGAGGATGGGGAAGGAACCTAATGCATTCCAGTGTATGGCAACATGCCCTTAGTTGGAATGGAGACTGGTTCAAATGTTTCAGGAGGATGAGGAGGCATGGGAGGAATTTGGGGGTGGCAATTGAAGGCTTTTGGTCTTTTCACTCTAGCTCAGAGAAACAGCATGGTATGATGAAGGAAAAATTTGCTAGGAGGCAGGATCTGAATTTTAGTTCATAGTGATTAGCTGTGTGGGAAAGTCACCCTACTTCTGAGCCTTGGTTGCCTTGGCTGTGAAATGGGAATAATATATTACACATTTAAAGGCTTCTTGAGGCTCCCTTCATTCAAGGTTACAATTCCATTACTGTCCTTATAGTATAATTCTATTTTTCTTTTCTTTTCTTTTTTTTTATTATTATTATTTTTTTTGCGGTACGCGGACCTCTCACTGCTGTGGCCTCTCCCGTTGTGGAGCACGGGCTCTGCACGCGCAGGCTCAGCGGCCATGGCTCACAGGCCCAGCCGCTCCGCGGCATGTGAGATCTTCCCCGACCAGGGCACGAACCCACGTCCCCTGCATCGGCAGGCGGACTCTCAACCACTGCACCACCAGGGAAGCCCCTTCTTTTCTTTTTTTAATTGAAGTATAGTTGACGTACAACATTATATTAGTTTCAGGTGTACAACATAGTGATTCAGAATTTTTATAGATTATGCACCACAGCAAGTTATTATATATTGAAGATTCTATTTCTTTATACCCTACTTTAGTAAGGTTCAAGTATCTATCCTCTTGGAACTGGGCTTCTCTAGACTGTGTGAAAACAGGACAGGGAAGCCCTAGAGAGTGCTTTTGAATTTGGTCCTAAAGTGCCTGGATTTTCCAGGAAATGTTCATTCCTCTCATCCAGGGCACATACTATCCACTGAAGGTGGGGTAGGGGTTTTGAGGGGGGTCATTATAATTTAAGGTGACCTCAGATCCTTGAGTCTATAGTGTTTGGGGTAAATTTCTCTGAAAATGTGACTGGTTTGGCTTACAACTATCCATGAGACTCTCTCTCTAGTACACACTAGACTACTTTTCTCATTTTTAGCTTAGGGGAAACAAGCAAACCAGAAGGGGGAATGGAGTACTAAGGGAGAAGAAGAATAAGGAGTGCAGAAGCAATCTGCAACTAGAATTCACAGACTTCCCCATCCTCAAAACAGTGTAACATCTCACTGACAAAACTCTCTCTTTTGTTCTGGTTTTTAATTAAATAATGTGTCCCCTTTTCAGGACAGCAATGCCTTATGGTGGATATGAGAAGGCCTCCAAACGTATGACCTTCCAGATGCCCAAGTTTGACCTGGGGCCCTTGCTGAGTGAACCCCTAGTCCTCTACAACCAGAACCTCTCCAACAGGCCTTCTTTCAATCGAACCCCTATTCCCTGGCTGAGCTCCGGGGAGCCTGTAGACTACAACGTGGATATTGGCATCCCCTTGGATGGAGAAACAGAGGAGCTGTGAGGTGTTTCTACCTCTACTTTGTATCGTTTCCCCTCTCTGGTTCCATTTTGGAGAGGGAATGCTGAGCAGGATACCCCCACTGAAAATCCAGTATCCTTGTGGGAATGGAGGGAAAAAGAAAGGAGAGATCTGCCCTTCCATCCTTCACTCCAAGTCCCCACTCCAAGCATCTTTTCTTACCAACTCAGAGCTCCCCTTCCACTTGCTCTGTATGGAACCTTCTCGTGTGGAATTTTCTCTGCCTTCGGTAACAGTTAATAAACTTCAAGGAAATGAACTCATTCTTCCTCTGATATTTGAGGGCAGACGAAAACTGAGGCTAACAATGCACAGAGACTAATTAAAAGTAAAATACCATACATCCATTATTCAGACTTCAAGACTGACCTGATTACTTACACACCCACACCCACATCCGCACCTGCCAAAGCTCATTCATAGGTGTATACAAAGACATACTTATTGAATAGTACATAAGACAAATAATCATGCACAAACACACATGCTGGCCCATACGTGGGCAAAGCTAAGCAGCAATTGTGTGCTGTGTTTAGGAAATAGGCGTTGGTGACCCTGGCATTAGCTCTCTTTAAGAAGCTGATTAGAAACTGGGATAATCAGGATTACCCAATTTTTACAGAATGAGAGCATGCCATAAAGTTTCCAGATGACACGAGAGTGAGCTTAGGAATATATGTCAAAGGTTACAGGTTCCCAAAAGGATGAAATAGAATAGGGAGCCATGTTGGAATCCAGAAGGAAGTGGGAGAAACCATCTGCAGTTATAGTATGCCTGGCTCATCTGTGAACACATCAAGAAAAGATCTAAGGGTCACAGGGGCACTGCAGTTGTGTCCAGAAAGCACTATGATTGGGAAGAAACCATGAGAATCCAATAGCAATGAGTAACAATACTCTTTTTATTAACTTCAAGCATGGGGTTTCTTAGAGTCCCAGACTTACTCTTATGTCCCACAAAGTCAGAGTTTGATGCAGATCTGGAAAAATAACTTCTGAGGAGAGCTGGCTGAATTCAGCTAACTCCATGAGCCATTAATGATTATATTACGTTCCTAGACTGCCTGGACTGATTCAATTTTCATGGAACTTGGGTCATATGACATTTAGCCTGGTCACCTTCCTTTATGACATAAATAAATTTCAGGGAATTCATATTTCCTCTAAACTAGTACACAAAACTCTATTTCTATGTGCATTTTTCTAAGAAGAGTTGTCATAGTTTGGCTTCCCTCCCAAACAGACCCTGAAACAAAGGTTTGGATGCAAGTAGTAAATTTGGGAGGTGGTCCCAGAATCCAAGCAGTGTAAGGGAATGAGAAGAAGGCCAAAAAGGTGCTTCCAGCAATTGGGGCTGAATCTCACTAGAGACTCTCTGAGAAAAATGTTATTCAAAGTGTGGTCCATGGACTGGCAGCAACATTTTCTCCTGGGAGCTTTGTTAAAAGTGCAAATTCAAGGGAATTCCCTGGCGGTCCAGTGGTTAGGACTTGGCACCCTCACTGTCAGGGACCCAGTTCGATCCCTGGTCGGGGGAACTAAGATCCTGCAAACAGTACAGCAAGGCCAAAAAAAAAAATTGCAAATTCAAGAATTTGTGTCTTATTAATCTTTCCAGGTGATTCTTAAGTGTTAGTAAAGTTTGAGAAACACTACAGTAAAACATACTTCAGAATTGCCTCACTGAGGCAGGGTAGAAACTGGAATATTTAGCTACCAAATCCCATCTCTCATTGGTTACGGATTGCCAAGGGGAATGTTAACTCTGCTGGCACTTCCAGGCAAGGAGATAACTCAGGTGTTTAAGGTAGGAAGCTATGGCTTGTACAGGATTTGTCTACCAAAGCTGTAGTGTACTCTAGGATAGGCTGAGGGAATATGGGCAGGGCACAGACAGGATGTGGATAAGAGTTCATAGCTTTTATGAGATTCTCATGTTTAAAAGTCTGTGAGCCCGGGCTTCCCCGGTGGCACGGTAGTTAAGACTCCTCGTGCCAATGCAGGGGACACGGGTTCGAGCCCTGGTCCAGGAAGGTCCCACATGCAGCAGAGCAACTAAGCCTGTGCACCACAACTACTGAGCCCACGCGCCACAACCACTGAAGCCCAAGCACCTAGAACCCGTGCTCCACAACAAGAGAAACCATCATAATGAGAAGCCCGCTGACCGCAACGGAGCGTAGACCCCGCTCGCTGCAACTAGAGAAAGCCCATGTGCAGCAATGAAAACCCAACACAACCAAAAATTAAAAAAAAAAAAAAAAAAAAAGTCTGTGAGCCCTCCCCAAAAGTTAAGGACTATATTCCTTCAACAAATGTTTATTGAGTGCCTACTATATACTAGGCCCTATATATCAGGCATCAGATGTACAAAAGCAAATAACAACATTCATGTGACAAAGAGATTTCCCAACTATAAAATAATTATTAAATGCTTACCCTTAAAGTTGGGGTAAAAAATGTTCAGGGTCTAATAGTCAACAGCTCTGAAAACCTAGCAACTTAATTTTTCCGACCTCAGAATATCTGAAATCTTGTAAATATATACGCATCATTTATCTACTGATGGGCACTTTGGTTGCTTCTACATCTTGGCTACTGTAAATAATGCTGTAAGGAACATAGTGGTGCATGTCATATATCTTTTCTAGTTAACATTTTTTTTTTTCTTCAGATAAATACTCAGGATTGGAATTGCTGGATCATATGGAAATTCTATTTTTAATTTTTTGAGGAATCTCCATACTGTTTTCCATAATGGCTGCAGGAAAACTCTTTTTAGATAGAAGCTTGTGAAACCACGCACTTCAGATTGGGACTTGAACACGCATGCCAGAACCCCACCAAAGCCCACAGTCTTCCAAATGAGATCACACACCTTGTTTCAGGACTTAATGAAGCTCAGGTTCTTGATGTCTCATCGCAGAAAGAATTCAGTGAGAGACAAAGTGATAGGTAAGAAGTGGATTTATTTAGAGAGAAACACTCTGCAGACAGAGTGTGGGCCATCTCAGAAGGTGAGAAAGGCCGCCAGGGTATGGGGTTGTCAGTTTTTATAGGGGTGGGTAATTTCATAGGTTAAGGAGTGGGAGGAGTATTCCAGCTATTTTGGGAAGGGGTGGGGATTTCCAGGAATTGAGCCACCGCCCACTTTTTGACAGTGGGCACCGCCACTGTCATGGTGCCTTTGGGTGTGTCATTTAGCTTGCTGATGTGTTACAGTGAGCGTATACTGAGCTTCAAGGTCTAGTGGAAGTTGACTTCTCCGCCATCTTGGACCCATTTGATTCTAATCAGTTTATGTTCCGTCCTTAGGCTGTGTCATTCTTTCAAAGGTTGTGCCCTGCCCCCTTTCCTCCTGTTTCACTTGCACTCTTCAGTGGGCACAAGTCCCCACTACCACCTATTGTTTTACATCAGGTCTCTTTTATTGTTACCCACCTAGACTCTGCAGCCGTTTGAGTTAGCAACTTCAAGGGTTTCTTTTACATAAACCACCTGCCCATAATACTATGCCCCTAAAGTCACCCAGATAATGCATTCCCTGGTATAGGGTCTAGAGCTTTGCTGTCTAATGCTGCAGTCACTAGCCACATGTGGCTATTAAGCTCTTAAAATTTGCCTAGGCTAAATTAAGATGCTGTGTAAAAATAAACAATGGATTGTGAAGACTCAGTATGAAAAAAAGAATGTAAAATATCTCATTAATAATTTCAAAATATTAAAAAATTGCTGTACACCAGAAACTAACACACTGTAAATCAACTATACCCCCAATAAAAATTTTTTAAAATTTCAAAATATTGATTACATGTTGAAATATTTTGAATACGTTGGGTTAAGTGAATAACTAAATTTCATTTTTCTTACTTTTTAAAAAAATGTGGCTTCTACAAATTTTAAATTGCATGATGTGCCTCACAGTATGTTTCTACCGGACAGCACTGGTCTAGACTATGAGAGGTATTCAGGGGATTGGAGAGAAGAAACTGAATTCTCCATTTATTATTTTTATTCCCTTACTTGTTCTCCTCTGTTTTACTCTCACTGAACAACGTTCTTTATATAGCTGTTGCAGTAAGGGGGACCCCTTCCAGGGCCTGAGGGTGGGCCGCTGTCTAACACTCAGAAATGAATTGTCCGAGGAGACACACGTGCTGACAAAGCAAGAGACTACTGGGAAGAGGTGCCCAGGCAGATAGCAGCAGGGTAAGGGAACCCAGGAGAACTGCTCTGCCACGTGGCTTGCAGTCTTGAGTTTTATGGGAATGGGGTTACTTTCCGGGTTGTCTCTGGCCAGTCATTCTGACTCAGGGCCCTTCCTGGTGGTGCGCGCACTGCTCAGACAAAATAGATTCCAGTGAGGATTCTGGGATGTTGGTAGGACATATGGACTGGTGTCTCTTCTCTCCTTTCCCGAATTCTACCGGTTGGTGGTAGCTTGTTAGTTCCTCGTTCCTTACCAGGACCTCCTGTTGTAAGATGACTCATGCAAGTGGCTACTATCTTGCCTGGCCAGGGTGGGCAGCTTCAGTCAGTGTTTCCCCTAACATGTCTGTCGTCTGTTCCAGATCCTACTCAGTCTGCATTTACAGCTTTCTGAGGGCAGAGAGAAAGCCCTTACAACTAAGTGTTGAGAGAGTCACCAAGTAAAGATGTGCCCACAGGGTGACAAGCAACAACTGCAAAGTTCAAATCACAAACCAATGCGGCCCCCTTCCACATTCAAGGCCAAACATGTGATAATGTTCGACTAAAAACAACAACAACAAAACACTTTGATTTCCTAGTTTCATTGGGCAAATTGATGGGGGCGGGGCACCAGTGTATAAACATAAATATTTCTGTTAAGTCAAATACCATTCAGAAACCAAAGTAGGGGAAGAACGAATCAAAGTTTCCTGAAGGAAGGTTAAGGAGGAGATGGAAAGGTCAATTTCTGGCTTGCTCCCTCCATCTCTACTCTGCATGCATATGGAAAATGCCAGGAAGACTGAACTTCAGCCAAGGCGCCACTGCTTTAAGTTTGAGGCACTGGGAAAAGACAGCCCCATACCTCAAGTTATTCCAGTGTAGGGTTCGTCATACTAACTTCCCCCATCCCAGACCGTCCTGCGTCCTGCCTACAACACTTATCCGACTCTCCTGCCAGTTCCATATCCTTCTCCGCCCTCGCCCACCTCCAGACCTTTCCAGCCCACCCCTTAAGCTTCTTGCGGCCGCCATTTTACACAATACTATCGCGAGATATACTTAGCC